TATAAAGTAGCAATTTGAAAGTTAATTGTTATAACTAATTATAAGTAAAATTTCTGCACGTTTTGCTACATAAGTCTGTTTTTACTCAATGTTTTATCAATGTTTAAATGATTGCATCTATACCAGCGGTTCTCAATATATCGACTCATAAATGCCTGCGTTCAAAATTAAAATTCAAAAATTTCAATGCCACCAAGGAATTTAAGAGAAATTGTAAAGATAATTGTATCACTAACATATATGTATTTTTATTTTATTTTTAACGAAATAATTATACAAAAAAAATGTGCATTATTTCAAATTTTGTTTCAATTCATACTACTATGTTTGATTGGCAACTGTGACAATAAATAATAAAGAAACGTGCAGGATAATTCTTACTTAGGCAATCAAAAGAATCCAAATAAAAAAAGTCAAGTTGGACGGGTTAAAACGTATAATTTAGTCAGTGATAAGTGTACCATTGATACAGAACTGTTAGTCTGCACCAGTGGTTCTCAAACTGGGTGCCGTGAAATATTGAATTGTTTGTATGTAAAAAGTCAAATATTAATAAATCCTTCATGTTTTTACTAATTATAAAAAGCAAATAATAATAATAATTGTTGTTGTATGGGGTATGGTTGAAAATATGACAATACACAGTGTACGAACTAAAGAATACATATACAGTCACACGCAGTGAAAATCGTCCACCCGCAACGGAGCGTATATTAGTCTAAATAAAACAATAAATACAAATAAAATATAATGATTGCGCATATTAAATTATTCTACATAAATAACTACATAATATAAACTAAAAGCAAAAGATTCTGTTGAATAATAATCGAGATATGGCATTGCAAATAGAATCATGTCCGAAATGAACCTCACAGTGAAAATCGTCCACCTACATCAACGTTTGATAAATTGCAATAGTTATTTGATTTTGTAATTTTTAATGGGTGATTCTTATAGATTTTTGTATGCTGGATCCGAATCTCTAAACCATTTATGGTAACTGTTAAATTTACGCGCCTGTTTACAATCGCTGGCAGTGACACCTGGTCGTACTATTGTAATTAAAAGCGTCTTCTCGGAGTCGAAGTAGAAGTAGAGCGTGTTAGCAAGTTGAAGCGTACAGATGTGAAAAATAAAGATCACCACACATTTTCATCTAACTTTTATAGTTTTCGAGATAATCAATCTTAAACACAAATTGCAAATATTCAACTTTACAGAATAAAAATGTCCTGCCGTCCCAAAAATCCTCGGTCATGAGAACGCCTTCGACAGTATGTCCTTTTGTTTATGACACCCCCAAGTTGGAGGACTTTCCCTTAAGAAAGGGAAACGCGTCAACAGAACGCACATGACTTGCCTCAACCGTTCGTCTATTTCAGGCCTGTCCAAGTAGGGGAATCCACTCCTGGAACACATGTTTCGGTTCCCCTTCCAACGCTGCTCCTTCAAGTAAGATGGGACGGTTCCGACTACCATCTCTGCGAGAGGACAGTACCGCCGCTAGGAAAGACGGAGAGACGGTAGTCGGAACCGATCCATCTTACTGCATCTTACTTGAAGGAGCAGCGTTGGAAGGGGAACCGAAACATGTGTTCCAGGAGTGGATTCCCCTACTTCAGGTCTGTCCAAGTAGGGGAATTTACTCCTGGAACATGTTTTGGGTCCCCTTCCAACGCTGCTCCTTCAAGTAAGATGGGGCAGTTCCGACTACCATCTCTCCTAGAGGACAGCACCGCTGCTAGGAAAGACGGAGAGACGGTAGTCGGTACCGTCCCATCTTACTTGAAGGAGCAGCGTTGGAAGGGGACCCAAAACATGTGTTCCAGGAGTGGATTCCTCTACTTGGACAGGCCTGGTCTATTTCATTGGTTGACAATACCCAAAAAAAGCCAACCATAGTGATTGCGAAATCTCGAGAACTACAATAGATAAGAGATAAACGGGTAACTGATATGAAATCAGGATAAGCCGGAAACACCGAAAGAAACTTTTGAGACCGGAAGTGCTAATTTAACAATACAATTCCAATATGCGTCAATAAGATATATTTCATATACGTGAGAAGAAAATGTGTATGGTTATATGTTGCCAGCCTTCAATATGCGCATGCACATTACTTCAGCGCTGGTTTAACACGTCCGCGACGGGGCCTGAATTTAGTGTCTCCGCCGTGGGGCGGGGTTAAAAAAAATTTGTCAATTACAGTAATCAATTATTTAAATGCTATACCGGCGGCTCAGCCCGCCCGATGAGACAATTGTGTATGTATGTACCACTGGTGGCTCATCCCGTCCCATGGGATAGACAAGAATGTACCACCGGTGATACATCCCGTCGCGAACGTGTTAAACCTTGAAAGTTCTTAAAATCTGGAAAGTTTTGAAATTTCGAAAGGTTTGTAGTTTTTGATAGGCTTGAAACAGTTGAAACCAAGATCATGTACTATTTTGTGATTTAAAAAAACAGATCTATGTCATAACTTTTTGTAAATGTTTCTTTACAGAAAAGGGCAGCTCCGTCAGTTTTTGTTTTTGCTAAACTATTACTTTTCAAGACAAATAAAGAAATATCCCCTAAAAATTGATGTCTTTCCGTCTCTAATTATCGTTTATAATTACATCACAAAATTGACTTAAATGTGAAAATTCAAATTTCTTAAAAACTGAGAACAATAAAGAACAACGGTTTGCAGATTCATAATCAGCACACGAAACTGTAAGCGTTTTATGTGAAAAATGCACAGTGAATATCAAAGTACTAATTAATTATTGGACAGTGAGATAAGCCTTATGCGAATCATGATAGAAACGGCAATACAGAGTAACCATTTCCAGGTAATCGCGTTGTATAAGCAGAAGCAGCCGCTTTCGAGGTCACCAGAGACCAAACTTCATTTTTCGAAATGACCTTGGTTTCAAAATCTCCAAATTTCCAAAATCTCCAAAATTCCATTTCTAGAGGTTGATTAAAATTGAAAGTATTTCGAAGCTTAAACGTGTTTAAGTTATTGCTTGAAATTTTACAAGAAGAAGTTTTGAATTTCCATCGGTAGGTGTTCTATGTAACTAAAACAAAAATTAATTTTAACATAGTAGAAGATAGAGGAGAATTGCATGAGTTGCAATAGTGCCGAATGGAGTATATGTACAATAATAAGCATGTGCTAGTTCCCGAGTGGAGGCGTTCTGAAGAGTTCAAAATTATTTTTTCAAATAGAGCTGCATATTTTTCTTTTTCTTTTTCTTTTGTATGTAAGTCAATTCTTTGGATTTAATTATAATGTTAAAAAATTAACAGCTCGTGTCACGATATTTTAAGTGTTAAATAAAAGTATTTCATACAAGAATTTAAGATATCTCATGAACTGTTGATTTTTTTCACATTGTACCTGGATACATTTTTGCGTAAAATGTTCTGAAGAATCAACTCACATAAAAAGTAAACTAAATTCTCATAACTTCGAAGCATGTACGAAGAGTTTTAATTCGAATTTATGTCACTTTTTTTATTGATTGATTTTTTTTTATTGTGATGCTTCAAAGGGTAAATTATAAAATATACAGTAAACTGTTTCGGTATGGGATATAATGGTGTTTTGTCGTTTCTTTAACAAGAAATAGAAAAATGTTTATGTATTCCTAATTTTTCATTGTTGCTTTATCGAGTCCCTGCAGAAGTTATTTTATGATTATACGTTACATACACACAATCTGGCTATAATAATGTAAAATAAATGTCTACAAATTTTAAAAAAATTGCATTTTGCTTTGTGAAGTAACTCAAAGCTGCTTTTTATCATTTTTTCTTGAGTTATTGAATCTTATCTAGGTATTAATAGACTAATTAGAATAGAACTGTTTAATGTTGTCAAGTTAATCTAAAAAATGTTCATTACATTAAAAATTGGAGAATGTATAGAGGGTCGTTTGAAATTCATGGAACAAATAGGAATTCCATGGGGTATTCTATGGTTCGAAGTTATTACAACCTTCATCACATAGAAGATATTTAAGTCTGGACAACCCTGTATTCTTTAACGTATCGAAGATTTTTTAGTATATTGTTATATTTTTCAAATTATTATTTTCCAAGGTATGAAAAATGGTATGAAAAGTGCAGAAACTAATCATCATTGATACTTTCTATTTGGACAGAGTTTTTTCTTTAAAAATTAGTAAATTTGTAAGCATGGTATTTCAAAAACTACTGGAAATCGGGTATTTATATTAGATATTAATAAATTTATCAAAGCTCTATTATAAACGATCAGAAGAAAATTATGTTCGTCTATTAGAGAAACGAACTTGACTTTTATATTTTAGTAAATAATATAAAAAGGAGTTCATCTTTGCTAACAAAATTTTCCTCCTTGTACTATGTAATTTTCATACAAACAATGTTTTGCGTTTTCAATGTACAACAAAAGCTGGATAAGTGCAAGGAAAGATTGGCTAGATGTCCGGACAAAATTCGATACCTTCACTGCATATGTACAATGTTTTGATTCGATCTCTCTGGCTTTTCGCTAACTTTTAACATCAATTTTAGCAAGTAATTATAGTTCAAATTATATCGTGTATATTTATTTTAATCAGAAAAATCTCACCAATGCGCTAGTAAAAGTTTCATTAAAAAAAAGTCAAAAATAAAAAAGTTATTATAAACTTATTATAAATTTTGAAAAAAAAGAAGAAAATATATTGGGAAAAAATGTAATATTATTAGACGCATTAATCTTCTGAACCAAATGTCTGATTTGATCAGAGCCGATGAAAACTGCCGATTTCTTTTTAGATAATTAGCTACAGCGATGATAAACATTGTAGATTCAATAATAACAAAACATTTAACATTAATCACTGTGTCGGTCTGCGAGACCTAATATTTAAATTCAAATGTCGTTGTATCAGCGCTTTGAAGGTTCACCAGAAATATTAAAAAGCGATAAGATATGGTCACGTATGAATAAAATATTTTCTAGAAAATGTGGTTACCTTTGTATTTGTTAGTGCACGCGCCATTAAGAGGCGCAGAATAGTCACCGCATAGGCAACGCGTCCTTCCATCTCGAGGATCTGCCATACATGTTGTATTTTGAATACCAGCGCACTCGGATTCTAATTTACATTCCCGGGCCTTTCCCACTGAAATTGCAATGAATTTTTATGTATAATTGTATACAATTTTTTAAACCAATTTTCATATAATTATTCTCATTTATTTAAAACTGTCATAAATTCTTTTATCAAAATTGCAAAATTTAATATTTCATTGATAACATTTATTAAAGTTTTAGCCTTTGAAAGAAACAATTTTTATAGCGTAAACAGAGTAAACAAAATTTTGTTAATCCTTGTGAAGTCACCCTTGGGTACCTATGAAAACCGTCGAAACTTTAACATTAATCAATTTTATTTTGGAAATGAGAGTAATCATAAAAGTGTTCTAAGATAGAAAAACCGAAGCAATTTTGCAATATTTTTAGCAAAACTGTTGAGAGGGAAATATAAAAATGGATACCGGTTGCCCGATTGTCTACACAAGGATTAAATAAGTTTTAAATTATAGTTAAATTAAAGTAAAGCGACGAGAAGATTTATTTTCAACCCCAGAAAGGCGGAGCCTGCGTCAATCGTGATTCCGACTTGCAAATTATATGCAAGAGTATCAACTTAAAAGTTAAATATATAATTCTTAAACGATTTTATAAATTGGAACAATGATGTTTAAACAATATAAATATAGAACAGTATAAAATATAAAAAATGAAAATAATATAAAATACAATACTAAATTAAAATTGGGGCTCTCTTCAGAGTCCGCCGTCCAAGTGTTGAAATATTAAAAGAAAATTCTTAATACTTAATATTTCCATTGTTTATTCAGTTATAATAATAAAAAACTCTTAAATTCTATAATAAATATTATATTTATGAAGAAATATTGTAAAAAATTAAATATCATTAATAATAAAATGATATTCTTTAATATTAAAAAAATATACATGTATTTGAACAAACCTGGGGTAGGCGGTGGTGGAGGGTTTTGATTTTGAGTTTGGGGGTTGGTTTTACCAAACGTCGTAAGGGCCCAAGTCGAGGATGGTGACACAAAAAAGACCAGCAAAAGGAACGACGCAAATATCTGGACACTTCCTCCTTTTTGCATTTCTTCGGTATTTACTTGTTGCAGCTACGATAAACTTGAAACTGTTAATAATCACTTAGTCCATTCACTGCTCACTGAATTGAAAAAATGCAAAACTCTGAATTCAAATGAAAAGTCACTTCTTCTTCTTCACTAAAATCCTGATGATTTTTTATTACGATGATGTTGAACTTATCGAGATTTTGATTTCAATGTAACACTGGTATCTTGATTATTATTATCGTGATCGTATCACAAATTACTATAATGAAATGTTCCCGCAAAAATTGAATTAGAATTCTGTCGTACTTTTAAAATACTAACTACTGTACTTCAACAGGGTGCTATTACGTTCTATTCGAGAACTGCGTGTCACAAGGACGTTGGAAGGCCTTTTAAGCATTTGAAGCATCCCCACCCTGTGCCCCATGTGCTGCCACCATCAAAGGGGAAAGTACACCAAAACGTAGTTGGCCTACCACGTCGTCGAACAATCGGAGTATGCTTTGTCTCCTTTAAGTTTCGATCGCAGTACAAGTTGTGGTCGGGTGGAATTGAGCAGTATACCTTACTGCTAGAGGAAACCATTTAAACTTTGATTTTCTTGCAACGCAATTTCTTTTTATTACAGATATGCAGAAGCTTTGTTATCACTTTTTCTTAAATATTGTTATCTATAAACACATGTTGTAATTTATATTCCTAGAAAAAAAGTATTTGGCTTTGAATTTCTTTGCAATGAAATTGTACATTTCTATAAATAGATATAAAAATATTATTAGTTACAATTGTTTTTCTTAAACGTTTTGTAAATATATTATATTGCTGCTATAAATTTATATTGCTAATACGAAGCATCTAAATTTCGCTTGTTTTTTTGAAACTTCTGTCCTTTTATAAAAGTGTAAAAACTATTTAAGTGTTACCATTTTTTTATTAATTGTTGTATAAACATAATATATTGCACTATAACATTGTCCACATCAATGTTTACTTCTAGAAAAAAGCATTTGAAGTTTCATTTGCAACAAAATTAAAAATAATTCGCAAAATGATATTTGTAGCGATAGTGCATATCTGCGATGCATTGGAAACATTATATTGCACTAGTTCTAGTTGACAAAGTATAAACTTTACCTAATTATGGCATTTTTAAGATAACAGTAAAACTTTTTTCCGCAGTTATTGAAAACTTTAATGTACAGAACAATTTATATGAATTAGTACTACGTGATCCTGTGCTCAATTAACATTAATTAATTTAAAGTACCGATTGCGGGATTTTCTAAACTAACTTCTTAAGATTGCTCTGTATGCAAAAATGTTTTACATGTTTTTTCTCGTATTGAATTACCTACAAAATGACAGCTAGTAGATAGTGTACAATATTTAAGTTATAAAACGGAAAAAATTGCAAAAATGGCGTGTATTTTAAATAGTAAAAAGGTAATATAAAAAATTTACTAAAGTTCATGAGAAGCACGCAAAATAATCTTTATAATATGTGTAATAAGTTTTCGCAATTCGAACTCGATCAGAGCAAACCTGTTTGTAAACAAAACAGAAGTGTTAACTATCTAATCATTTGGCACTTGACTTTTTTTTTTTTTTTAATTAAGAGTTTATAGTCGCATCAATAACAGAGGTTATTAGCGACTGTATTAAGAATTACAGGTACATTAGGGATATGTTGCATGGAGCTGTATTATCAGTAGGGTCTTCATAGCTTGTCCAGTATTCCGATGGTGTTACAGAATTTGATCACTGTGTCCTGATGCAATGTCGATGTGATCACTTCCGTAAGGTTGTCCTTAAAATTCAGTTTTCTCCTTACTTGCATGTATGGTAATTATGCACAAAAAGACCCCAGTCGCCGATGACCTTGACTTTGACATATGTTGTCAAGGTCATGACCCTGAATAACGTTGGCCTTGAAAAAACTGGCGGTCACGATCCGTACAAAATTTACGAAGCATTGAAGTTCCGCTTTTTATCGCGATTTCGTGTTTTCAGCAACCTTTTCCTATACATATAACCGCCGCTTGGCCATAGTATCGACACTGGTCGAAGAAACCATTGTGAAAAAGGGCAATCCAGATGTCCATCGATGGCTGGTGAGAAAGGCGTTGGTGCCTTTTGGTAAATTCTAACATGCACATATTGCTTGCCGGTCATAATGTTGTTGTTGTTTATAAAAGTAGTAGACGACAAGCGGCAGTAATTTTTTGAATTTTGGCATGCGTGGCTGACCGCCTCACGGCGCGGTCGGAATATTAATTTAGCGTAACCTAATCTAATCTAATATAAAATTAAATTAGTGTATTAGTAGTGAACTTGTTAATCAGTGAATTAGGTTAGGTTAGGTTAGGCTACAATAATATTCCGGCCGCCCGACGGCGGCCGGCCACGCAAGTCATAATTCAAAATCATTGAAATCAGTTAAATTTGATTTTTTAGTTCAGCTGTTATACTCCTTAGGTTTCGGCCGCCGCGCCGTAATCTGTTTATATAATTATAAAATTACGATTTTTTCTAGGAATGACAAAATATTTTCAGCGTTTTAAAATATAATAACTTTCTATGCTACTTACTTCCCGATAGAAGTTGGTCCAATCAACGACACTGCATGCAAATAAACAACGAAAAAAAGCGAAAACTTTAATGCTTCGTAACTTTTGAACGGATCGCGACCGCCACGTTTCTTAAGGTCAAGGTTACTTGACCTATATGTCAATATATGTCAAGGTCAACATCATCGCCGACTGGGGTCTTTTTGTGCATAATTACCGCATGTCTTTTCTGCATTCAATGATGGTGTGGTGAATGGTTAGATTTACGTTGCATATTTCGCAGGTACTGGGAGGACTATTGTTGAGGATATGTGCATGTGATAATTTATTATGGTCGGTTAAGGATAAAAATAATAAAAGCACTAGCATATAACAACTGGGGAGCAGACAAAACCGTGCTCACACAGGCCTATAAAGCAATTGTCCGATCCAAATTAGACTGCACATCAATAATATACAACTCTGCCAAAACAGATGTTCTCATAAAACTTGAAATAGTCCACAACACCAGGCTAAGACTCACAATTGGTGCATTTCATACTAGCCCTATTAGAAGTATTTTGATTGAAGCTGGCGAAACGTCTCTGAAGCATAGAAAAAAACTGTTAAGCCTAAAATACCCCATAAGGGCTGCTACATCCATAAATCCAATCATTTTCGAAGACTGCTTTCCTAGGAATCAACGTAACACAAACTTGAATTTTGAGTAGCGGAGCCTGGGTCAATTGTAACCTAAACTTACAGAACGTATATAGAAATATAAATCTAAAGTTAAATATATAATTTTGAAACGAAAGAGTTTCATATATGGGAAGAATAATTTTTAAAGGAACAGTATAAAATTTAGAAAATGAGAATAATATGAAATACAAAATTAAATTAAAAAATAATTTTTAACAAAAAATATAACCGACTTCAAAAAGTGTAAAATAATTTATATTTTGTTTATACAACTACATGACAATTATTAATAAAACTTCTTTCTATTTCGTTTATACCAATACTCAATAGTAATTAATAGAACCTACTTAATCGTTAAATACATGTACATTTCAACCTTTTCGGAGGCGACACAAAATTAAAGTTCAAGCGTCGGCAACCTACGACCTGCGGATCACCAAGTCACCCATTGCGGATTAACGACATGTACATATTACAATAATTACGTAATAATTACAAATGTTATCAGCCATACGTTCCGTATTCTTTCTTACTGCTTATTAATTACCAAGTTCGCCATACCGCAATCAAATCGTTATTGACATCATCGATTATTTGGGTATTTTTAATTTTGCGCCGCCTTCGGAAAGGTTGAAATGTATTTAGTATATTATTTAACGATTAAATAGGTTTTATTAATATCTATAGAGTATTGAAATATAGAGTGTAAATGAAATAAAAATTATTTCATACTTTTTAGCGCATTTTATTAATGCAGCAAGAGGTTTTATAAATAATTGTCACGTAGTTGAATAAATGAAATATAAATTATTTTATACTTTTTAATGCATCTCGAAGTCGGTTGTATTTTTTGTTAAAAATTATTTTATTCCATACTTTTAAGTGGAACGAGCAATATTTATAAGATATCGCAAGGTGGTTTTGCGTTTTTATTGGTTAGCTAATAACTATAAGCTAAAAAAAATATATTGATCGAATTTAGATGATTAATAAAAAATGTTTGCTAGTGGGATCATCGCGGAAATATCTCCTATTGGATGTGAAAGCTTTCATACCGATCGGTGCATTCCTTACAAAGCAACACCAAGGAATAGGTTTTCGCTACAGCAATAATTATTAACAATAACAAATTCCATAAATTATTGCAAGTGGGATTATCGCGGATATATCTTCTACTGCATGTTAAAGGTTTCATCGCGATCGGTACATTCCTTACAGAGTAACACCAGCGAATAGGTTTTTTGCTTCAACAAATTCCATAAGTTTTTGCAAGTGATATCATCTCAGATATATCTCCTACTAAATGTGAAAGGTTTCATCACGATCGGTACATTCCTTGCAATACGTTTTTTGCAATAAAAGCTGTTAGCAATGAAAAAGTGCAAAATATCTTTTTTATAGGACCAAACGGGAGACATACTCTACAAGATGCGGAAGGTTTTGTTTCAATTGGTCCATCCGTTTCGAAGTAATCGGGAAGCATACATAAAAAAAAATATACTGATCAAATTCAGTAACCTCCTTCTTTTTCGAAGTCTGTTAAAAATGGAGTTCCTCTTCAGCGTATGAAACATTAAATACATACATATATCAAAATCTAGGCATTGAACGTAAATACTTTTTTCTCATCTATTCGGATCCATCGGAGCTTATAAAAAGACCATAATGTAGGAGAGAAAAAGGCGTTTTGTCTTGGGGTCGTCTATCAGACACGTCAGTGGGACTGACAACAGACGATCCCTGCTGCAGACACCTAGCGTACCGCTATTGGGAACTTATATACATATATTCGAACAGCATGCCGGGCGAGCGCTTGCGAGAGCACTGTTCATCTCGCCGCCACCTAGCGGTCCCCCGGCCCGAACTCAAGGTGTCCGGGGAGACGAAACCCTCTCTTCTCCACTGAACGCCTACAATAAAGGAATATCATGGAAATCAATTTATTTATAGACTTAAAAAACCATGATTAAGTATAAAACCCAATCGTAATTGCAAAAAAATATATTTTTTAAATCAATTGCTTCAAAATATTTTAACTTTAATTTTTTTAAATTGTATTTGGACCATAGTACACTCGTGATCAAATTAGGCTTCTGCAAGTAAAATCATGATGTCCCGCAATTTTGCCCTTTTCCAT